TCCTCAGCCAGCTGGCTGAGGAATTCTGGGAGTTGAAGTCCACAAGTCTTAAAGTTGCCAAGGTTGGACACCCCTGCTTTAAATCAGAGGTCTCCAAACTTGGCAACTTTAAGACTTGTGAACTTCAATTCTGGGAGTTGAAGTTCACAAGTCTTAAAGTTGCCAAGTTTGGGGATCTTTGCTTTAAATCTTGCAGAGGCCTTGGGCACCATTTCCTTTGTTAATGGCCACATATTCTTTGTACCTATTTCTGAAACTTTTTGCAGACAGAAAATACTGATTTTCTACGTACATAATACATACATGGGGGCGTTTTTCTGTATTTCTTTGGGCATATATGGGTATCTGTATAATCCATTCTCAGTATTTCTTGGTATATATGATAATAATAATTTGAAATGCTCACCTTTTGAAATTCACCTGAGTCAGCAAGAGTGTTTCATGACTGTGGGGATAGTTGAACTTGGATCTTGCTATGTATCATAATGAATGTTAGCGGTTAATGTGCGAATCTAATTTTGGCACAGTTGTTTTTTCATTGTAATATATGATTTTTTTTCTTGTTTCCACATCTTGTGCAACCATTTTATAAATAGTAATTAAAATAATCCTTTCATGTGACCTTTACAGATGCCAAGAAGAACCTTCTGGACAGCAGAGAATCAGAAGCAGCACTAAGAAGGAAAAGCAACCCCTTTCCAGCCAGTAAACCACATCTTTTCTCTTTCCTCCAGAAAACCACAAAGCTTTTCAACTTCACTAGCAAGTGAGCAACAAGTGAGAGAAAAAAATAGGAAAAGAGTGTTGAGCTGGAAAAAAAAAATTCTATGTGGAACTCGAGGAAACCTTACATGAAAAGGTAAAGGGGAAAACATTTTCAAATCTACACAAAAAGGGAAAATATCTAGAAGTCTGTGGGGATGAATCAGCAATTCCAGGCAGTAATGCAGGCCTCAACCTGTGAGGAAAGAAACAGCTTGAATCAAAGCACCATCCAAGAAGGGATCATGAATATTTTTCACCTCCTCAACAACCCAGGCATATCAGTGGTGGAAAACCTCCACAGATGTGCCTATTGTGGGAAAAGTGTAGCTTGCAAATCAGAGCTGATTATGCATCAGAGGACCCACACTGGTGAAAAACCATACAAATGCTCTGAATGTAGCAAAGTCTTTCACTACAGATCCCAACTTCTTGAGCATAAAAGAACCCATACTGGAGAAAAGCCCTACCAATGCCCAGAGTGTGACAAAAAGTTTAGTAAGCATGCCACCCTGGTGATACACAAGAGGACACACACCGGAGAAAAACCATTTGAGTGTCCAGAGTGTGGGAAAAGTTTCAGTCAGAATTCCAACCTGGTGATACATCAGAGGACTCACACAGGAGAGAAACCATATGTGTGTCAGGATTGTGGGAAACATTTCCGTCAGAATTCCAACCTGGTGATACACCAAAGGACTCACACAGGAGAGAAACCGTATGTGTGTCAGGATTGTGAGAAAAGTTTCATTCGAACTTCTGACCTGGTGATACACCAGAAGATTCATACAGGAGAGAAATTGTATGTGTGCCCACATTGTGGGAAAAAATTCATTCGGAATTCTGACCTAGTAATACACCAGAAGACTCACACTGGAGAGAAACCATATAAGTGTCCAGATTGTGGGAAAAGCTTCAGTCAGCATTCTCACCTAGTGATACACCAGAGGACTCACACAGGACATAAACCATATGAGTGTCTGGATTGTGGAAAAACTTTCAGACGGAATTCTGACCTGGCGATACACGAGAGGATTCACACTGGGGAGAAACCGTATGAGTGTCTGGATTGTGGGAAAAATTTCACTCGAAATTCTGACTTGGTGATTCACCAGAGGACTCACACAGGAGAGAAACCATATGAGTGTGTGTATTGTGAGAAAAGTTTCAGTCAGAACTCTTACCTGGTAATACACCAGAGGATTCACACAGGAGAGAAACCATACGAATGTCCAGATTGTGACAAAAGTTTCAGTCGGAATTCCAATCTGATGATACATCGGAGAACTCACACCGGAGAGAAACCATATGATTGTCCAGAGTGTGGGAAAAGCTTCAATACTAGATCAAATCTCACCAGCCACATGAAGTATCACACAGGAGAGAAACCTTATGAGTGTCCAGACTGTAGAAAAAAATTTAGTTGGAAATCTGACTTGCTGATTCATCAGAGGATTCACACAGGGGACAAACCATATGAGTGCCCGGATTGTGGGAAAGGTTTCAATACTAGGTCTAGCCTTATAAATCATGTAGGTTTACATACAGGAGAGAAACCATTCAAATGTCCAGAGTGTGGACGATGCTTCACGCAAAATTCTTCCCTTGCTGCACATAAGAAAATCCACTTGGTGCAGAAGGTGATGGGTGTGAAGAAAAGCTGAATTTCATTTCTAATCTCCATTTTGAAATGCATCTGAGAAATTAGTTAAACTTGTATTAGGATTGTTGAAAGAAATATCCTTCTAGGTTCATTTCCAAGTGGGGAAGAAAGACACTGGAAACATGGTGACTGCTTTGAAAGATGGTTTAATGGTGGGCAGGATCACATGCTTTGGGTGAAGAAAGAAGGGAAAAAAGGGCTAAGATGCTGAAGGGAAAGGGTTTTATAACCTCTGTTGAGATTTGAATTTGTGCTTGTATTCTGATTGATTGTCAGACTCCCATGGGGCCATGCAGGGGCAATTCTGTAGGCTGTCCTGAGTCCCAGGCTTGGTTGAGCCTTGCTGGATGATGATGTAATGAAAGGGCTTTGGGCAATTCCTATTATAACTCTACTTGGAGTAGATCTTTGTTATGTAAAATAGACTGCCCTAGGCCAGAGTAGTAGCCCATTGGCAAAGGTGGGGTGGGGGCTGAGTTTCTGCTTCTGATGTGATGTGGTGCTAATTTCCTACAGACATGATGGAAGAGAGAAAAAAATGGGAAAATGTTAGTTTGATAAAAGTTAATCCATGTATCTGGCTGTATGAGGATTTATAGGTGTGTCAGGGAGTGACACAGCCAGTGCCCAAATGAAGTCATAGACATAGATGCTTACACAAACTTGTAGTTTTATATAAATAAATATATTTTACATCTATATTTACAGCAAACAAGATACTCAGGCAAGCAGGAACATCGTGAGTTAAATCACAGAGCACACAGAAGAAGAAAAGGGGAGAAAACTCCGCCTTTACACCCACAACCAACCAATCACAGCACAGATTGCCTCAAACAGGAGCCAGCACTCTAACCAATCAATTATAACTGTGTGTTCTGGCTCACTGTACAGCCCCACTGTTCCAGCTGTTACATCATCTTAACAAGATATTTAGCAGAAATTAGGCAATTGCTGCAAAAATGGCTTGAAGGGTGATTTTTGCTCTTTGATCAGAAAGGTTTATAGAACTGTAGCTTGCAAAGTTTCAGCCTTCTTCAAACCTGGATGTCCACAAAATCCCAAGCTCCATAAATCTAGCAGAAAATACCTGGGACACAGGAGGTGGACAGAGGAGTTATGTTTGCTGCTTTTGAGTTATTTCTACATATAATAAAGGCAGAAAAAAGTATATGCATGCATCTATATCTATTTAATTAGGAAAGGTACACGGCAGCTCAACTCACGGTGACTCTAGGTGTTTACAGCAATAAAACCTTTCTACAGAATATATTGCAAATTGCAAAAATGCAGAACCTCGAAATAGAGGCCACAGTTGATGGCATTTTGACGGTCAGGGAATTTCCAGAAAGGTGATTCTTGCTTTTGTTCAAATTAGAAGTTAACTAGGCTTCCTGGCCATACTGACAAGGTTGACGCCCGGTGCCATTCTTGCTTGAAATTAATAATTTTTCTCCTTCCAAGGCATTAAATTGGAGGAGTTAACTGTGGGATGAGCAGTATATAAAGTTGATAAAGAAATGCAATTTGCCTCAAGCAACTTGCAGATGGGCAGCTTTTGATTCATCTCTTTTGCCTTTGATTTATTTAAATCATTTACATAGCCACCTATGTTATAAAAAAACTACGGCTAGCTCCCTGTAAAAAAATTAACAAAAACTATCCTATTAAAACAAAACATATAAAAATCCTGTTGCCAAATCCAGCTTCTGATGTGCAGTTGCCACTTCCTATCCCAGTGCTTGGGGGGGAAAGTTAGGTTTTTGATGAGGTTTACAGAACACTAAAGGACTGTCCAACCAGGGAGAAAAGGGTTTATAGAGAGGGGCTGCAATGGAAAAGGCAGCCTTCTCAGCTCCCATCAGATGACAATATTTAGGAGAAGGGACTAGAAGTACGCCTACCATATCTGACCTGTTAGGACGTTGAAATGGAAAAGTAAGGTAGGTAGGTAGGTAGGTAGATAGACAGACAGAGATAGAGATAGAGATAGATATGGATAGATTAGATAGATATAGATGGATAGATTAGATAGATATAGATATGGATAGATTAGATAGATATAGATGGATAGATTAGATAGATATAGATATGGATAGATTAGATAGATATAGATATGGATAGATTAGATATAGATATGGATAGATTAGATAGATATAGAT